CTCCTCCTCCTCCTCCTCCTCCCTCCTGCTTCTCTTCCTCCTCCTCCTCCTCCTCCTCCTCCTCCTCATCATCATCATCATCATCCTACTTCCTTTTCCTTCTTGTCCTCATGATCCTCTTCCTCAAGTATTTCCCGAAATATGTCAACGACAGCTGGGGGAACACATGGTCCGCTAGCCATAGCCCAGCTTTGGGGCCACATGGGCGCTTCCAAAAAGGCGGGGGGCGGCGGTGACGCATCGTTGGCGTCTTCGATTCCTCAGAACAACATGTGGGAGAGAAGCTGCCTCGCTCGGGCTGCATCCAGGAAGCGAGAAGACTAGTGCGCACGTGGAAGACATGGTGACGGAAGGGGGGATCTTGGGAGACGCGGGCGAGGGGAGTGGGGAGGAGGGAGAAGTCAGGGGGAGGGGATCTCATGGGGTCTCATTGGGCGCTCCTTGAGGCTCGTGGGAAGGGGAAAGAGGGAGGAGGAGGAGGAGGAGGAGGAGAAGGAGGAGGAGGAGGAGGAGGAGGAGGAGGAGAACAGGGAGGGGGGGCGCTCTTGAGGCTCGTGGGAAGGGGAAAGAGGGACGGGGCGCGCAGGGAGGGAGTGAGGGATGGAGGGAGGTGGAGCGACGAGGGAGCAGGATCAGACATGAGGCGGGAGAGGAACAGGAGTGCCAAACCTCATTGTGATCACGCGTGTCGCGACGAGACTGCATACAACATCACTTGGATCTTGCCGCCTCCGCATCAGCATCTGACTACGCACAGCCAGTATCTCGAGGCCTCCAAGATTGGGTCGAAGTAAATGGGGTCGGAGGATCGCGCCGCATCGCCGATGCGGGGATGCACCGGCGACGCATCGTCGACGTCGACGATGCACCGGCGACGTCGACGAGAAGCGAATCGGGCTCCACATCGAGCCGCATCGCCGATGCCTCGGCGATGCGACGTGATCCTCCAACCCCATCTGCTCCGACCCCATCTTTGCGAGGCGGGGATTTATCCCTATCCACCGCCCGGGAACTGACGCCCTGGTGCCCCGGCGGGCGGTGGATGTGGAGATACTACTCTTAAGTCGCGCCTGTCCCCCTACAGGGGGATTCTCAACGAAAAATGAAAAATACCCACAAAATAATCCAAAAATAATCCAACAATAGTCTGCATGGGGACTATTTTTTCTTTTTGAGTTTTTTGTTTTGTTTTGCCTTTGGGGGGGTATTTTGAGTATTTCATATTTTTCGTCGAAGGTCCCCCTGTAGGGGGACACGCCCGACAGAATACTGCTCGAGCCCCCGGGGGGCCTGATTGTGTCCACATCCCCCGCCCGCGGAGGTCTCCGGGGGTCGATCCCCCAGGCGGTGGTCGTGGACAGAGTCCCGCCTCGGAGTCTTCGAAGGGGCCCCAGGGCACACAAATTCGCCGGCCCAACGGGCCAGAGGCGTGCTAAGATCTCCGGTAACTTGTTAACAATATTTCTAGTTCGCGCGCGCGGAGCGGCCCCTGGGGGCCCCCGGACGAAAAGTACCCCGGCAAGGTCTCGAGAGAAGGCCGGGAGAAGCCACCAGACCACTCCAGGGGAGGGTATTTTTCGACACCCCTCACGAGGATCGTGGCCTCCGAGGGGGGAGCCGCAATCGACTACCCCCAAGAGCCCCCCAAGAGGCCCTGGGGGCCTCCAAAACGCCGCCAAGGAGCCCCAAGAGACCCCCAAGAGGTCCCCAAGAGGCCCCCAAGAGGCCCTAAAGAGGGCTCCAGGGCGGCGGCATGAGCGGCGAAAGCGATTAAATATACAGACACACAAATAAAAAGATTCCCCATATCTTCCCATAGTTTGGATTTGTTTGTCTTCCCCCCACTTCCCATATTTTCCTATATTTTCGGGGAAATCGACGGTTAGTCGTGTCTGAGTGTGTGTGTGTGTGTGTGTGTGTGTGTGTGTGTGTGTGTGTGTGTGTGTGTGTGTGTGTGTGTGTGTGTGCGTGCGTGCCGTGCGTGCGTGCGTGCGTGCGTGCGTGCGTGCGTGCGTGCGTGTGTGTGTGTGTGTGTGTGTGTGTGTGTGTTTTCCCCTCCTGAGTCCTGGAGGCCCAGAGAACTGCGCACAGCCACTCAATCAGAAGACGAGCAGCAGCAGGAGCGCCCGGGCTGCGCCGCGTCCGCGAGCGCCCGCGGAGCGCCCCATCCCGGACAAGAAGGGACTCGGGGACACACAGACAGAGAGACACATATCACAGGACTTCCCTATACTTTCCCATCTAAAAAAATGTTTGTCTTCCCCCCCCCCCCCCCCCCACTTCCCATACCTTCCCAGATTTTCTGGAGAATCGACGATGACTCGTGTCTGTGTGTTGTGGTTTTTCCCTCCTGACAGTCGGGTCGGGCGAAAGGGGGGGATAGCAAAGGGGGGGGTTGAGAATCAGCTCACGTAGCTGATTTTCCCGGCGCCTCCCGGCGCCGGAGGCGGCCATGTATCGAGGAATGGCCCCCTCGGTGGGGCCGAAACCAGCTGCATGCAGCAAATTTCGTAACCCCCCCTTTCCCAATCCCCCCCTTTCGTTCGGCCCGAGACAGGCGTGCGACGCCCTGGCTTTTTCAGCACGGGGCCCCTGCAGGTCCCGACCCCTTCCCGGCCCTTCCCCGGGACCTGCTCTCCGTCCCGAGTCGCTCTTCGGCGGCCCCGCGGCCCGGCGAGGGCTCCCCCCGAGGTCGCAGTGGACCAAAAGGCCTCCCGCCCGGATTCTGTTAATTGCGACGCGATCGCGCCTGGGCCGGGCGGGCACGGGGCGGACCCACAGGGGGTCAGGTCGGGCGTGTCCCCCTACATGCGGATCTTGGGCGATTTTTGTTAAACAGGTCAAAACAACAGTGTAAGCATGCTCGAAAAGTATGGGAAGATCGCCCCCCAGACAAGTTCTTGACTATGCTTGACATCTCCCTCCTGCCCCTCCTCCCTCCTCCTCCTCCTCCTCCTCCTCCTTCCTCTCCTTCCACCTCCTCCTCTCCTCCTCTACTCCTCCTCTTTCATCCTCTCCTCCTCCTCCTCCTCCCTCCTCCTCCTCCCTCTTCCTCCTCCTCCTCCTCAAAACACTGTTTTTTTTTTTTTTTTTTTCCTGGGGGGGGGGGGGCATGCAGGAGGGGACCAAAAGAGCGGGGGGGGAAGAGGGGATCGGGGGGGGGGGGAGGTCACACGCAGGAAGCTGGAGGCGCTCAGAGCCTTGCCCATGGCGAGAGGGGAAGACGCCGGCGACGAGGGAGGAAGCCTCGGATGGGATGACGATAGAAGAACACTGTGATATATGTTTTGGTCCAGCCTAACTCAATGTCGTGCTGTGGGACAGCCCTCGGCTCGTGAAACGTGTGCGCTTGCCCTCGTGGCGTTGCCAAGAGGCAGGCGGCGGTGGGCGCTCGCCCGATCCTGCCCAACGAGGGCGGACGTTGGAATGTTGTAGCAGTCATGGGCAGCAGTCCTGCGCTGCCCAAGGGTTTAAAAATCAACCAGCAAAATTGGAGCATGCTCCACAGCAGTTCCCACAGCGCGGGGCGTCTTCCATCGAAGAAGCTCCGCGGGTAAACAGGAGTGGACAGGAGGGCAGGAATGGGCTGGGGGGTTGGGGAAACAACAGACACCGATACAACTGCTCGCCAGACCTCTCCCGGGTCGCCTCCTGACTAGCACTCCACAGTATATCGGCCGTGGCGACAAGGCCCCCCTCAAAGACCAGAAGAGCGAACGAAGGAAGGGTGACGGTATCGGTACCTTGTCTAGAAGAAGAAGAAGACAAACGGCAAAACATGAAACTGTTGGCGCTCCGCGCGGGTTCCTTGGATCTGCGCTGGCCCCCCTCCCTGGCTCGCGGAGCGCGCGGCGCCGGAGGCGCCGCCAGGGGGGCCCAGCGCGGAGCCGAGAAACCCGCGCGGAGCGCCAACAGCTTGTTATGTTTATGCTGCTCTGTCTTCTTCGATCGTCCTCCTCTGATGGGTGGGGGAGGAGGACGAGGCAGCCACCTGCGGGCAAGGCTTGGGGCTCCTGGGAGCGGCCACAGCACGGACCGCTCACCCCGCTCCCCCGCGGCGCGGCCGCAGGGCGTGGCGCCTCCCTGCTCCCACGCTGGGGGCCAGGCGTGGAGAAACAAGCCAGCCTCTGGGGACACCAAAAAGGTACCGACCCAAACGTCGGGCGTCTCGAAGACATCGGAACGGAAGCTCTTCGTAGTAGTTTTTGGCATCTCGGGGCCCTCGCTGGGCCTCGGAGCCGCCCAAGAACGACTCGGGACGAAGCACTGGTCCCCGGGGAAGTGGTCGGGAGGTCGGGAGCCCGCGTCTCGCACAAATCAAGACGCCGGATGTCCGGGGATACCGCTACTGCCCGGACCTCTCCTGGGGTGCGTTCTGCCCAGAAGCTCAAGGCGAAACCGGCGGTGGCGACGAGGGCCTCCCAGGAGGCCCAGCAAGGGGGAATAATTGGGGGCAGGGTAGCGGTATGGGCCCATCCCCCCAAACCCCCGGCGTCGTGCTTTCTTCATGACGTCGGCCCCAGAGATCGCGACCTTTCTCGCGGGACCGGCTTTTTCACATTCCCAAACCCCCGACGTCGTGCTTTCTTCATGACGTCGGCCCCCAGAGGTCGCGACCTCTTCCGCGGGGCCGGCTCTTCCTCCTGGGCTGCCTTCGGACGGCCCCGGCGGGGGCCGCCAGGGGACAAAAACAGGGAAAGACCTTCCGCCGCGATGCTCTCATTGAAGGGGCCCTGGGACACACAAACAAATACACACAAATACAAAGATTCCCCATATTTCCCAATCTTGTCTGGGTTTCTGTCTTCCCCCCCACTTCCCATACTTTCGCATATTTTCTGGAAGTCGACGAATATTTGTGTCTGTGTGTTTTTCCCCCTCCTGATTCATGGCTCGATGTGGTCCAGGAATCTTCTGACCCGGGTCAATCCAGACCCGGGTCAGCAGGAAATCAAAAAACTGCAACGCAATAACAAAAACAACTGCAACGCAGGCCTCCGCAAACCCGGGTGTCGGCCAACATGCGCGGCCGCCTCTCGCGGCCACGAGCGGCTCGCTCACCCGGGTCAGCCAGAGGGGGTCTTCGCAGGCTCCCGCAGGATCCGGTACCCTGGCTGACCCCCGTTTGCACGGACCCCCGCCTCAAGGCTCCCGAGAGGCCCAGACATCCGACGTCTTGATTTTTTCGAGACGTGGGCCCCCGACCTCCCGATCACTTCCCCTGGACGGGATTTTCATCCCGCATCGGTTTTTGGACGGTCCCCGGGGCCCGGCGAGGGCCCCGACAGGCCGAAACCGACGAAACACCCTCGTCTCGATTTTTGTCGAGACGCCCGATGTCTGGGGGTCTGGGCGTTTCCTCCTCCGGGCCTCGCATCGCTGCCGGTGCGCCCTCCCGCAAGGGGGCGCCGCCCTGCACGGGCGGCGGCGCCCGCTGCCAAGGCACAGGCCGCAGCCTCGCGCCACGCCGCGCGGCCTTCCGGGGGGCGGGTCGCCCACCTCACAGCATCGCGAGCGCCGACCTCTTCTCCGTGCTCGCCTCGGGAGGAGGAGGAGGAGGAGGAGGAGGAGGAGGAGGAGGAGGAGGAGGAGGAGGAGCCGGAGGATGAGGAGGAGGGGGAGGAGGGGGAGGGGGGGAGGGGGAGGAGGGGGAGGAGGGGGAGGAGGAGGAGGAGGAGGAGGAGGCGGAGGAGGCGGGAGGAGGAGGAGGAGGAGGCGGAGGAGGGGGAGGAGGCAAGTTAGGTGCGCTCGCGTCACATCTGACATCCTACCCCTCCCTCCCATCCCTTACCATGGCGCTGATTTTCTCTATCCGCGGACGCGTGTCGTAGCGGACCTGTGGCTCCGCGCGCGTGTGCGTAGTGGGTGGTGGTGCGCGTGCGTGCGTGCGTGTGTGCGTGGTTGTGGTTGTTGTGGTGGTGGTGGTGTGTATGTGTGTGTGTGTGCGTGTGTGCGCGTGTGCTGTGGTGTGACGTGGTGTGGCGTCTTGGTGGTTTGGTGGTGGGCCAGGTGCGTACGTGCGTGATGGCGGTGGTGGTGGTGGTGGCGGTGGTGTGTGTGTGTGTGTGTGTGTGTGCGTGTGCGTGTGTGTGTGTGTGCGTGTGTGTGTGTGTGTGTGTGTGTGTGTGTGTGTGTGTGTGTGTGTGTGTGTGTGCGTGCGTGCGTGCGTGCGTGCGTGCGTGCGTGCGTGCGTGCGTGCGTGCGTGCGTGCGTGCGTGCGTGCGTGCGTGCGTGCGTGCGTGCGTGCGTGCGTGCGTGCGTGCGTGCGTGCGTGCGTGTGTGTCTGTGTGTGCGCGCGTGTGATGTGGTGTGACGCGGTGTAGCGTGGTGGTGGTGGGTGGGGTAGTGCGGTGGTGGTGGTGGTGCGCGGTGGTGGTGCGCGTGCGTGCGTGCGTGCGTTGGTGGGTGGAAGTGGCGGTGGGTGTGCGTGCGGCGGGGCGGGGCGTGGTGCGGCGCGGTGGTGGCGGGCGGATGGGCGCGCGAGAAAGAGGCCCGCGCTGGGGCGAGAACGCCATCCTGAACGACGGAGGCAAAACACCGATCCGAAAATGAGGCCCACGCTGCAGCGGGAGCACGATTCGGAACGATTGGGGAGCAGAAATGAGGCCGGCGCCTCAGCGAGAGCAGCATTAAAAACAAAAAACGCAGGCGAAAACCCAACCCCCGGGAATCCTGTGACGCCATCAGGGGAAGAGGGAGAGTAGTATTCATATTGAGTAATTGTGGAGGAGGGGGAGGAGTAGGAGGCAGGGGAGAAGGAGGAGGAGGAGGGGGAGGAGGGAGGAGGAGGAGGAGAGGAGGGGAGGTGGAGAGGAGGAGGAGGAGGAGGAGGAGGGAGGGGGAGGAGGAGGAGGAGGAGGAGGAGGAGGAGGAGGAGGAGGAGGAAGGAGGAGGAGGGGAGGAGGGGGGAGGGGAGGGGGAGGAGGAGGAGAAGAGGAGGAGGAGGAGGAGGAGGAGGAGGAGGCGGAGGAGGAGGAGGAGGCTCAGGCGCGCCGCGGGGGGGCGCGCGCGGGCCCCCGGCCCTCGGCCGTGGCCGCGCGCCGTGCCATCGGCGTGGGCGCAGCCTGCGGGGAGGCTGACCAGCCCGCCTCCCCGCGCCATTGCTTGGGGGGGAGGGGGAGGCTACCCAGCCCGTCTCCCACCTCCCCCCACCGGGAAGAGGCGTCAGAGGGCGAGGTGGAGGAGGGGCCGATGGAAGAGGGAGAAGACGACGACGTCGAGCTGATGGAGGGGGAACCGGCGCGGCGCGGGCGCCGGCGGCAACGCCTTCCAGAGGCCGGGCGGGCCAGCGCTGCGCAGCGACAGGAGGGAGGACAGGCCTGGGTGCTGTCGGCCCCGACCTCAAGGAGCCTCGCCATGTGCGCAACGTGCATTGGCGAGATACCGGCGCGGACGCCCCAGGTGAGGAGGGGTGGTCCCGGCGCTCGGGTACACCACGTCGGGTGCGCGGCGCTGCAGTGCGGCCCCTTGGATCGACTTGAGGGCTGGGAGCGCCTCACTGAGGAGAAACGCTCTGAGGCGCAGCTCGCGTTCGACGCCGCACGCGCCCACGGAGCGCAGGACGCGCAGGCTGCAGGGCAGGGAACTGGGCCCCGTGGGCCGCCGCCGCAGCCGCGGGAGGTCGCGATGGAGCCAGGAGTGTTGCGCCGCATGGAATTCTGGGACACCGTCCCGTGGAAGAGCATCCACGACCCCGTGAGCACGGTCAAGGTGGTCCCAGGAGCAGTCCGTCACGCAGTGGCCGAGCTCCGGGCCGCGCTGAGTGTGGCGGCGCAAGGGGCGGGCGGCGCCGCGGAGGAGGAGAGAGCCTTGAAAGCCCTGCTGCAGTCCGACCGGTTGCTCTTTGCCTCGGTGCGGAAGCAGCGTGGCGGCGCGCGCGGGCAGAGGGGAGAAACGCTGGCGCGGACGCTTGTCCGGCGGGTGCGTTTGGCCTGGGAGGGTTCTTGGGGCCTCCTGTGGCAGGAGGCGGCCGCTGGGCAGCCGCGCGGGGAGCCCCACGCACGCTCCGAGGCGCAGCAGCTGGCAAGGGATGTCCAGGCGATCGAGGAGGCACTTGCCGACGAGGACGTCCGCGAGGTGATGAGGGTGGTGGACGCCAAGATCCAGCTTGCACCGGACAGGAAGGCGCGAGACTGCCTCCCCGGCCTCTTCCCCCGCGCGGCCTCGCAGCCGCACGTCCCGCAGACGCAGCCTCTCAGCGACGACGTCGACCAGTTTGTCGCTGAGGTGGGGAATGCGTACGCCCGCGCACCGCGCAACCGCGGGGCAGGCCCAGGGGGCTCGCGGGGGGAGCACTGGGCATGGATGCCGCAGCACGGGCCCCAGTGGGAGGAGCTCACGAGAGTCATCCTGCGGCTCCAGCTCGGCACTGCCCCAGGCCAGGCTTTAAAGGCGTGGCAGAAAGCCCGGATCCTGGCGGGGGACCGGCCAGAAGACGACAAGGTCCAGCCCTTGGCCCTAGGGATCCTCCACCGCCGCCTGGCGTCCAAGGCAGTGGCCGGCATCTTTCGGGGTCGGGTCGCCGGAGCCTTGGGGGAGGCCGAGTACTCTGTGGGGAACACGAGAGGCGCGGAGGTCATGCACAAGGCGGTGTTGCTTGCCCTCGACAGCCGGCCGGCCTGCTGCAAGCTGAGCCTGGACGTTAGCAACGCCCACAACGAGTACGGCAGGGCTGTCGCCACGCAGGCGGTCCAGGAACTCGTGCCAGATCTGCTGCCGTGGGTGCGGGTCGGGCTTGGCACCGCGACAGAGCACGCGCACGTGGCGCGCGACGGTACCCGCACGCCGCTTCCCAAGGAGCGTGGGGGCGACCAGGGCGACGCACTCACCAATATGCTGTTCCCGCTGACCTACAAACGCGTTGCGCGTGCAACCGCGGAAGCGGCAATGGTAGAGGGCACGGCGGCGCGAGGCTACAGCTACCAGGACGACCTCGAGGTGGTCTGCGCCCCGGAGGCGGCGGGGCAGGCCGAGAGCGCCTTCGCTGCCGCGTGTGCGGCCGCGGGCCTCCGCGGCAACCCAACTAAAACCAAAGTTAGCCCAGGGCGGCTGGTGGCGGCGGCCGCGCTCCCGGCACAGCGGGAAGTCGAGCCGCGCGCCCTGGTGCTCCGCCACGGAGCGCTCCCGCCTGTCCCCGCAGCGCCGGCGCAGGCCCGCGCGGCGAGCAGCCTGCTGGCGGAGGGAAGCCCAGAGGTCGCGAGCCTCGTCGGCGACCGCGGGGCGCTTCACGGGCGGCTGCGGATGCTGCGCGCGGCAGGCCTGAGCAGCCAAACCGCGCTGGCCCTGCTCCGGACGCGGACAGGTTCGGACTACGTGTTCCTGGCGCGAACCTGTGGCATCCCAGAGACGGAGGGGGCGGCCATGGACGCCGCGCTGGTGTCCGAGGTGCAGCAGATCTTCGGGCAGCCGCTCGCCGACGCCACCCAGAGGAAGGCGTTCGTGGCTGCGGCGGCAGGCGGACTGGGGTTCCACAGCGTGGCGCTCACCGCGCCGTCGGCGCAGGCAGCCTCCTGGCACCTCTGCCTGCCGCACTGCCTCCGCAGGCTGGAGTTCGCAGGGGCCAGCGCCCTCGCCGGGGCCAGCCCTTGGGCGAGCACCTGCCTCCCCGCCGCGACACGGGTCCTCCAGGCGGCCCTCGACGACCAGACCGCCCACGTCGGCGACGAAGGGCTGGCAGCTACGCAACACACGCTGGCTTCGGCCCCACTCGCTGCGGCTGCCCGCCGCGTCACGCACGAAGCGGCAGCCGACCCACCCACAGCGGCGGCCCTGCTCAGCGCCGGAGGAGCCGGCGCCAGCGGCTGGCTGCAGCCGCCCACGCGGCCGTGCCACCGCCTGACAGATGCGCAGTTCGGAATCGCCATCCGGACGAGGCTGCACCTGGACTTGCCCCTCTGCGCAGGCTTCTGCCAGCACCGCCACCCAGACGGCAGAGTGTGCGGGGCGGTCTTGGATCCGAAAGGGGTTCACGCTCGCGGGTGCGCCGTTGGTGGCTGGCGAGTGCGCCGGCACGACGCTGGGTGCGCAGCCCTTGTCGAGTGGTGCGAGGAACAGGGGTGCACCGTTCACAGAGAAGCACTGGTGCCCCACGCGGCGCCCGCGAATCCAGAAGCCCGCATGGACTCGGTCGTCCACGCGCCTGGGGTGGCGGCGCCGATCCTGGTCGACCTCACAGTGGTCAGCGCCCTGACCCAGGACGCCCTCGGCCTCGGCGCGCCGCGCCGCGAGGGCGCTGCCGCGGCGGCCGCGGAGCGCCGCAAGAGAGCGCGCTATCCAGGAGCGCCGGTGGTCCCGTTCGTCATCGAGGACCACGGCCGCCTGGGAGAGGACGCGGCGGCGCTGCTTCGCCGGCTGGCCCCGGCGGACGCGACGGAGCGCTCGGCGGCGATCCGCCGCCTGCACCAGGCCCTGGGGAGCGTTCTCCAGCGCCACGCGGCCAATGCCGTGCTGGCGGCCACCCAGCGCCGGCCCTGGCGCGAGGCCAGGCCCGGGCGAGCGGCCGGAGGAGGAGGAGGAGGAGGAGGAGGAGGAGGAGGAGGAGGAGGCTGAGCAGCCAGCCCGGGGCGAGGAGCGCGGACAGGCGAGGCAAGGAGGGGCGCGGACGCTAGGGGCGGCGGAGCGGCGAGGAAGGGCGAGGAGCGGCGCAGGGGCGGCGGAGGAGGAAGAGGAGGCGGAGGCGGAGGCGGCAGAAGCGGAACACGCCGCTCGGAGCCGCTGGCCAGGGCGGAGAGCAGGCGGCGGCTTGGACGGCGGCGCCGGCGGCGGCCAGAGGCGGACGCAAGGGCGGCGGCGGCGGCGGCGGGCACGGGCGGAGGGGGGGCGGCGGCGGCGGGGGCGGCTTCGGCGGCGGCGGGCGGAAGCGGAGGAAAGAGGCGGCGGCAGGGGCGGAGGAGGCGGCGGCGGCGGCGTCGGCTGCGCCGCCGCCGCCAGCCAGGCTCCCTCCACGCCGGGGCTGCCAGCCGCCGCTGCCCGGCCGCCGCGCGTAGCGCGCGGGGCCGGGCGCGCCGGGCGCGCGGGGCGCGCGCGGCGCGGCCGTCCCGGCTGCCCCGGGGTCCCCTTCGGACTCGGGGGCCCCGGGGCCGTGGAGCACGGAGGAGGAGGAGGAGGGGGAGGAGGGGGAGGAGGAGGAGGAGGAGAAGAGGAGGAGGTGGAGGAGGAGATGGAGGACAGGCGGATGTTGGTCGAAACATGGCAAAACTACCCAAAAAGGACTGAAAACATGGGAACAAAGACTCAAAGCATCGTCCCCAGACTATTGTTTGACTATTTTTGAATTTTCCTCCTGTAGGGGGACATGCCCGACTGAGTGCTCGCCGCAGGCGCTCGCTGGACGGTGCTCGCGCTCGAGGTCACGACCTTCTTGTTGTCGTAAGCCTTTTCGACTACGCGCAAAAGGGGACCCTGGGCAAGAGCGACCTTTGGTGCGCGGCTTTTTGGGGGGGGCAGCGGGGGGGCCAAGCACAAGCCCGCATAATGCGGGATGACGTTTAATAAAAAATGGGGGATAACGATTTAAAACATAGTTTCCTGCTATTTCTGCACCCTGCTGCTGTTGACCCCGCTCCTTTCTCCTTGGCCCCTTCCCTCCTAACCCTCCGCTTCGGCTCCGTCTGGCCCGTCGGCCGCCCGGGCGCGCGCCCGAGGGCGGCGCGGGGGGAAAGATTCAAAAAATAGTTTTCCAGCCCGCGGCCGGTTTTTTCTAATCATCATCCCGGGCGCCGCCGCGTGAACACGACCCCCGGTCATTTATTAATCGTCATCCTCCATTACTGCATCGCGTTCGGCGATCGGGGGGCCCCAGTGGGCTCGCACCAAGGGTCACTCTGGCGAAGGGTCGCTCTGTCGTATAGTCGAGCCTTGTGGGACAGCACCTCCTGCAGCACCTGAGCGCCGCGGATGCAGTTCGTCAGCGGCAGGTGCCCCTTGGGGGCGTCCAGGCTGTAGACGAACTCGTCGGGCCAGTTCCGGTTCTGCCAGTTGTCCGTGAACCAGGACACCTCCAGTGCGAACTTGTCGAACTGTCCGCGGCACCGCTGCCACACCTTGCGCTGGGGCACGAAGCCAAACTTGCCCCCGCTGAAGTGCTGCCACAAGTTGTCAATGGTATTCATGTCGGCGTCCGCGATACTGCGCACCTCGCAGGAAGAAGGAATCTCACCACCACCACCACCACCCTGATTTTGGGGGCAAATCTCCAGATTTGTGCGACTCGGGTGTTCAGGGGGCCCCGCGAGACCGACCAACAAGGAGTTCACTGCCACTGCTCTGGAGCCCCCCCTCACCTCTGCCCCCCCTCCAGGTGGTGCCCGTGCTGATCTTCTCCCCCCACACACACTCTCGTGGAAACCGCGGGATGCCGATACCGCGACTCCCTGGGCCTCTCCTGGGGTGCCTTCTGGCCAGCAGGCTGAAGCGAATCCAGCCGTGGCGACGAGGGCAGAGCGGATCCAAGGAGGCCTTACCAGAAAGACGAAGGGGAGGGAACGAAGACGGCATCGGTACCATTTCCTCCTCCTCCTCCTCCTCCTCCTCATCCTCCTCCTCCTCCTCGTCCCCCTCCTCCTCCTCCTCCTCCTCCTCCTCCTCCTCCTCCTCCTCCTCCTCTCCTCTGCTGGGTTGGTTGGGACTCGGCATCGGCGGACCGCTGGCTAGGCAAGACGCCCGCAGGAAGACCGAGCGTCACCAGACCAGATAACGACAGAGAGAGCGGCAAAGGGCGGGCGAGCCTGGCCTACACCCTGCGAAATGCTTAAGAAATCATGGGTTAAGAAATTCATAGTCTCAGAATTGGAATAAAAAACCAGAATGTCTATTCAAATCTTAGGATCTACCTTGAAACATTAAGAATAATCGAGACTCTGGCCGAAAACTTAGGTTTTCTCAAGCTTCGCCTAGAGTGTATGAGACGCCCGCAGGAAGACCGAATGTCACACGACCAGATACGACAGAGAGAGAGAGCGGCAAAGGGCGGGCGAGCCTGGCCTGTGGGGGTCGTTGCCAGGTCTCGGGGCCGTCAACAAGCGACCCAGGATGAAACACCGGTCCTGGGGAAGAGGTCCAGACCTCTGGGGGCCGACGCCATGGAAAAAGCACGGCGTCGGGGGTCAGGGAAGGAGGACGAAGAAGACACCTGCGGGCAAGGCTTGGGGCTCCGATGCCAAAACGAGGCGAGAGGCCAGAATTGAAGGGGCCCCAGGACACACCAATATATACACACAAATAAACCTATTCCGCATATTTTACCATCGTTTCGGGGTTTTCGTCTTCCCCTCCCATATTTTCCCATATTCTCTGGGGAATCGACGATTCATTGTGTCTGTGTAGTTCTTCCCTCCTGAAGAACAGCGGCATCGGCAGACCTGAAAGCTGAATCGATTCGCGAAAGCGGGTCGGATCGGAACTCGATGGGAAGGGCAAAGTATTGCGGGACGCACAAGGGCATACTAGTACTACGTGTTCTCCTTGGAGGCGCGCGTCCGACCCAAACATATAGTATACCCATCTTGTAGTATATCGTTTCCCGAGCGGTGTGGCCAGAAAACGCCGGCCACGACGCATATACTATGAGATTTCTCGGTGCGCGCGTCGCCCCTGAGGGGGCGACGCACATAGAGCATAAGTATGTTGGGGTGACGCCGATATTGCCCTGACTTGAATCAACATCAGATGACCGCGCCCTGCTCCAGCTGGTCCTGGCCGATGCCGAGGACTCGAACCGAATCGAGTCGAATCGGAATCGTGGTCTGGGCCGGCGAATCGAATCGAATCGAATCGGATTGCGTGACGAACGAGCAACGCTCACCCATACCCGTAGGGGCACGGAGGGGGCTATGGGTGCGTGTTGTCGGATGGGGTCCCGGCTCGAACGCAAGCCTCCCCCAAAGTTCGACAACCCGAATGCCAGATATCCTCCCGCCGACCATCCGATGGATACGGGCGTGTGTGTGTGTGTGTGATTGTGTGTCTTTGTCTGCGTGATCTAAAGAACGGGTATAAATCGAACATTTCCATGGTCCGCTCGGTTAATTATCTTGGATCTGCGCAAAGCCCCCTTCACCGTCGCGCGGAGCGCGCCAAGGGCGGCGCCGGAGGCTCCGCCAGGGGGGCCCAGTGCAGATCCAAGACATCCGCGTGGATCGTCGAGAATGTATGGTGATTCGTTTTTGCGGGCAATAGTTATATCCACGTCCAGTGCGTCCTAGAGTCTTGGGCTCTCTTCCCCAGACACCGTAGACGCCCTGGATATGGATAAATATCTGGCCTCAGGAGGCTTGACTTCATATCCATATCCAGTGCGCCTCGGCGCTGCGGCACCCCTTCCTGAAACGTCCAAGCCGCTCTGGAGATGGATGTAAGTGCTGCCCGCAGGTCTTGCTCCTGCTTGGAATGCTGTGCGCTACCAGCATCGGTACTCCAGATTTCGTAATAAAAGGAGGGGGGTCTCATTTCGGGGGGGGTCTCTTCCAGGCTATCTTGGAGGGCCTGGGGGGGTCTGGGGACGATGTTTTGGAGGGTGCTCCCACGGGGGAGGTCTGAAATGGCTTGTCTTGGAGGGTCCAGACCCCCTTCCTTTTATCACGAAATCTGGAGTACTTCTCCCCCCCCCCCGCGGCCCCCTGGTGGTCTTCGGGCCATATCGCTCGGGCCTCCCACGGCCGTTGGGCACGATCCATCCGGGCACCCTCGCGAGAAAGTTTTCTCGGCGAGGCGCCGCTGCTGGAGAGCACCCCCGCGGCTGGAAAACCGCCGAGATCCGCCGAGAACGCCCCGAGACCTCCACAGGGGGGGCTTGACCTAAGGAACCCTAAATGAGGAACGAGGCCCCTTTTTCCCATCGGTTAAGGTTCGATTTCCCATCGAGAACAGGAGGAAAACCTGAGGCAAGCCGTGAAACACTTAAGGAACACGGAGCCCCTCCCCAACCAAAAGGGTTCCTTCTTCAGGGCCCCGACTGTATCCTCGAACGGCGAACAATGGCATCGGTACCTTTTCCTCCTCCGACCGGCCCGACCTCGGTGAAATACACCCAGCCCCGCGTCTTGGCGGCCGGTCCCGCGAGCTCGATCAGCAGCCGGCGGGTCTCGGCATCCGCCTCCCTGAGATTTGGACGCCCGAAGTGGGCTCGGAAAACTTTGGCACGAGGCCCAACATAGGGGAACAAGCAATGACACGACCATAACAACTCAACGTTTCAGGCGGATTTCTCGGAGCGGCGCTGGACCCCCTCCCTGGCGCGCGGAGCGCGCCAGGGACAGCGCCGGGGGCGCCGCCAGGGGGCCCCAGCGCCAGTCCGAGGCATAACTACGCCTGAACCTTAGAGTTTCGCATGCCGATGTCATTGTTTGATTCTTTACCCACATCACATGCGCGACGAGCAACAAGGGTTGCAGGCACGTTGAGACAGCAACCTCCCGCGGTGGCTTGCGCGGGCCGCCCGCGCGGCTCACTGCATGGGAGACGAGGGCACTTACGCGCGACCATACTCTCGCGGGCGGGCTGCGCGCCAACGCTGGCGAAGGCGGCCCCCTCTTCCTGCGTCGCACGCATGCTCGGACGTTGGCAGGACTGGGTTTCGCGGGACATGGTTCGGGGTTGGACAAGCCCCCCTTTAGCAAAACGCGGTTTAGTGAACACGACCTGATGCCCAAACCTGGCGGGCGCAAGCCTGGAAAAGAACGGCCACGGCGCCCCCTCGAGAACCGACAACGGACACCTCACGAATCGACGTGTCACCGTTGGGGGTTCTGTCCACCTCCGAACGGTTTGGGGACGCGTGCTCGGGGCCGCACCCCCTGCCTCATGCTACCAGCTGGAGCTGCCGCCACCCTCGGCCTATACGGCAGACCTGGCCCAGTGATGCTGCTGCTGTGGCTTCGGGGCGCAATCACAGAGTGGCTCCTCCTTGTCCGGCGTCCCAGCCATGTCCGACGTGCTGCCTTAGACCATCAGCGGCCCCTGTTGGGCAGCCGGCCGCCTGTCTCCAATGGACAACGCCCGCGGACACACCGACATCAAGTCCTGCTCAGAAAACACAGAAACTGCTGTCGGTCTCCGTGCCCTCTGTTTCCGTACGACAGGTTCACGTCCCGATGACGTCGGCGTTGATTCCTGACACCCCTGGATCGTTCAGCCTTGAACGATCGCCGCACTTCCGATAAGGCAGATCGCTCGCTGTGGGCCGCTTCCGGGCCGCTGGCGTCTCCTGGCTTGAACGCCCGTGCTGGGGTCGCCGCCGCGTCGACGCGGTGCGAACCCACCGTGCCCAGTTCCGTCGTGCCGACCTGAAGTCGCCCTTCTCCAGCGCACCCTTCAGCGCGGAGTAGTCCGCGCCGTGCTCGCTCACCAGCTCGGGGGCGTCGTCCGCCGCGCTCGCGCGCGCGACGCGGGCCTGGCGCGACCTCTGCGGCGCCGCGGCGAGGCCCAGAACGGGCGACCGGCCTGCACTGATGGCGCAGGACGAACAGGGCGGCACGGGCGTAAAACCTTTTGGGACCAGCGCCGGACCCCCGCCCCTGGCGCGCGGCGCGTGTCCACGGCGGCGCTGGAGGCACCGCCAAAAGGGGGGTGCCAGCGCCGATCCAGGACATCCGCGCGGAGCTCCCGACGTCACGAATGGTTTGAACCAGGGGCGCCCAGCTTCGCGCTCTCGCGCTGCGCGAAGGGCGAGGCGCGAACAACTTCGCGCTCTCGCGCCGCCCACCAGAGGAGAAGAGGAGGACGCAACCGACATACGTTTACGGTTTATGCCGCGTGTTCTTCCTCGATGAAGGCGGGCAGCAGCGTCTGTACGGATGCCGCGAGCGCGCCCAGCGCGGCCAGCGCGATGGCCACGCCCTGGAAGCCCCTCCTCTTGCTGGGCACGGCCATGCTATTCCGCCCCTCTGCGTCTCGACAGCTGTGGCAGGTCCCAACGTGCTGCTCCTGAGCCGAATTCGGCT